ATATTTGGAAAATTTCGAAAATCAAGTTTTACTCTGTGAACTGTAAGACTATGTATTTTATATCTAATTTTCCACAATAGCCAAAATCACTGTGCAAATGAAATATATAAAACAGTTTGAATTAGTTCTGTCTTTCTACCACTAAAGTATCATTATAAACAGTTTTGGCGCCAAACCAAAAATGTTTATTTCCATGTTAATACTATTTTGGAAGCCAAATTAGTGTGTCTCTATATTTTATGCCAAATCAATACCGGGTATCAAACCCCAAAACTAAGTCCTTCACAATTTTTTTATCTTGAAGAATTTTCTTTGTTTGGCAACTTTCTTACAATTTATGTTTAATCTGATTAAATTTTGAATTGAATTCACAATTTACACATTAATTCAATTAAAAATTAGGTAATATATTATCATTATTACTAATTATCTTCACTACATTTCAAACTTTTAATGAGTTTTAAGAGTCAGCTTTTTTAATCATTGATTGAAAAGTTCAACAACTTGAAAAAGCTTTTAGAACTAGGAAATGTAAATGGGGTTTATTTGATGAACAGTTGAAGAGATATGGTGTCAGAGAATCTCATTAGCTCATACCCCAGTAGGTAAATAAATAATAGAAAAGTTTAAAAGACCATCTTATTCACTGATAGAGTGGTGTTTAAATCTTAGGAAAACAAAGGCCAAATCGCTGACCTGAATAAAAATCTATAGCCATATGGAAATCAGTAAGGTGACCAAATATTTCGTTAGATTTATCAATTGTGAGTTGGACAAAGAAACAGGACAAAAGCAAAGAGAAAGTATCAAATTTCTCCCCTATCATAGCTGTGTTCAATTTACTTGGTTATCTTGAAACACAAAGAAATAAGGTCAAATGATAGGACCATCCCACTTGAGATCGAAGGCTGGAGCATCATCTTTAAATAACTTGTTAGTGTTCTATAGTATATTATCATTTTAGTCAGTGTATAGAGAATAATCACAAGATATTCTTAAGGCAAAAACACTTGTCTTATGTTTTCATTCTTCTCAATATAAAGAGCACAATTATATTGCTTTTGTCTTTGAAAATCAATTGAATTGCGAAAAACTTCTGAATTCTTGGTTATAGAGGTAGTAATATGGTTTGGTACTATCATTTCAAACATAACATTTTGATGGGAGATCATGTAATCAAATATGGTAGACACTGGCTTTAAATCAAGTCTTAAATAGGGGTGACCCATTGAAATTGAAATGAAATAAATACAGATATTTTTTTGGAGAATTAGCCCCTCAAAATAATCTGATTAACAGAGAAGAATTTGTTTAAAGAAGAATTACACTATTTACCTGATTCTTGAAAAATTAACTTCCAGTAATATGATTTGTCAATAACTAAAATTGAATTTTTACATTGATATGTTAACCATATTGGTGACATTGAAATAATTCAACAAGAGAATCAATTTTACTACCAAATAACAAATAACGCTAGAATAGTATATATTTATTCAAATCAATATATTCAATATACAATGTAAATCAACGTTAACTTTAGTAATAAAATATGGAGTACTTTCAAATCCTAATATTGCATAATGTGCTGCAAGCGTTGACATGATGGGAGGAAACTCTTCAAGTGTCAACTTTGCTGAATTTGTCTTTCTTTGAATAAGTATATTATGATAATAATTTGTCAAAACTTTATGATTTCTGCTTAAAGAAATTGTGAGTTCATAACTCAATCATACACAAACAATTTTTGATACCAAGACTAATGCTTTCTTCAATGAGTTTGATCTCAACCAATAACCTGGATCACCAGATAATGAATAGAGTATGTATATTAAACCAGTACATCTGGTTGACATTTGATTAGCTGGTATATAATTAATTGATAAAGTAAAACAAATATCAAATATCATCCTCTCTCTTTCATTAGTATCAACCTATTGATAGTCTCTTATATCATTGATTACAGGAAACACTTCATATTAGTCAATTTTAACAATAGTCTACACTACCAGTATATTACTAATCATATTGGTATTTATGTATTGGAATTTCATTCTTCTAATAATATTACATGTTACATCAGCATTGCATTATATCAGCAAGAGATATGATATTGCATTTTACACTTTAACATTAGCAACAGGAAGCTCATTGCATTTTGTATCGGCAAGAGATATGTTATTGTATTTTATACCAGCAAGAGATATGATATTGTATTTTATACCAGCAAGAGATATGATATTGTATTTTATACCAGCAAGAGATATGACATTGTATTTTATACCAGCAAGAGATATGATATTGTATTTTATACCAGCAAGAGATATGAT